CAGTATCTTGCTATGAGCAGCCAGTGGGACAGAGAAAACACTCACCTGGAGTGAACCTGTCCTCCTCAGGTAGGCTGGATGTCTTCTCTGCTGGGAAGTTTATAGTTGTGTGTTTACTGCATTAAGGTTTGTGATAGCCTAGAGCTGAAACATTTGTGATGTACTCATGACAATTTGCTTACACCTAAGTGGTGATATGATTCTGGTGAACACTTGATTTCTGAAACCTAGAAAAAAATGAAACACTCACATACTGAATAGGTTAGACCTTACAGTAACACCAAGTTTGTTTCTTTGCTTTGTTTATTTTAGTGTTTCTTTTGAGACAGGCACGATCTGATCAAATCAATATGAAGAGTCTGAAGGCTAAGTTTAAAAAGAATGAGGTAAGAGCCATCTGTTGTGGGGCAGACAGGGCTTTGCATTTGGGTGTTTTTTAAAACCAGTACACCTGTTTTCTGTGTCTATTTAGAGATACAAGCCAAACAAGCTGTGTTTTAACCTAATATTACAGTGCGCTGTTGCTCCATATTATTAAGTAAGTATTTATATAGGTACCAGGCTGCTCCCGGTGTGTGTCTCTATGGGGGGGCGCTGGGATTCAGTGTCACTGAGCAGCAGCAGGAGAGCAGCACTGTCTCCAGACTGCTGCCATAGCCAGAGATCTCAGGTAGCCTTTAATTATTCACACATATGTGCACACACTCCAAGAATTCCTACTTTCCCGCTGTCGTCCCTCAGCTACTCATAAGGACATTGTAATGCAGAGGTTAACCTTGTTCTCTAAGGTATTTTATTCACTTTTCTTCTTCTTCTTCTGCATTTCTGCACTTTTATGTATTTTTCTGGTTTTACTATTATATCTGCTCCATGTAGCCAGGTCGGACTATACTGAGGCCAGTGAGCTCACGCCCTTGTAGCCCTGGGGCACTGATACAAACAGATAAACTACCAGCCAATAAAGTATTCTGAGCTTTTGTGTCCTATTGTTGCTTTTAGCACTATTATCACTTGTTACTGTCAGTCACCTTAAGGAGAAATTCTACCTTCTTGTTACTTCGGACATGCCACAGTAACGGTGACAATGCTAAACTTGGATGAGGCTGATGACTAGTCTCACTTACTAGACATTCAGTGAAGTCTGACTATAAAGTTGAACTAAATACTGTAGATAGACAGATACCCTGGATGCATTTATCTTTCTCTCTATGGTGCTTATGTTTGTCATTATGTCCCCTTTGCACTGTAAATAACCATCCAAAGGGGTAGAACAGGGTGCAGCTTGTCCAAGTTGTTTCCCCTCTTTTTGCTGAGTCCTCACATCCTGCAGGCCCTGCTCTGTAACTGCAGAGGAACAGAACTGTAATGCCGTGCAAGATCTGGCAAAAACTAATGCAGAGAAAGAGGGAGGCTGCTACAGAGAAGAAGGCAGCAGAACATTTTTTTAGGTTAGAGAAAGGAGGACAGTGAAAAAAGGGACGAGGTGGCAGAGTGTGAGAGAGGTGCAGCGCCAATACTGGCTGTGTCCCCGCTAGCAGCTGGAGCAGGACGAGAGGATGCTGTTGTGGATGCGGACAGGGGAGCGCTGCACAGGGAGACGCTGTATGGGCAGTGAATAGCAGTGCTACTGTGTGTGTCAGAGTTTATGTGTGGTGAGCTATTCTGTTTGATTGGTGGTGTGGTTTTGAGTATAGGATACATTTTCTGACATGTAGATTTCTGTTTTGATGCTATTGGGACCTCTGAAGGGTATCTGGTAGAAACTTATGGTTAGCTGAGTTCTCTACACTATCTGGTTTCAGTCTGTGTGTTTGATATGTAGACATATGTAGATATGTAGAAGTGTGTGTTGCCAGTCAGGACACACTGTAACTGTGTTAGCTGAGTGTGTGATGTCCTGCTAGCCATATGGATCCTCAGCAGCCTGTTTTTAGCCTGATGAAGCGGTTCTGTCCTTGTGTCAGCCTGCTGCCGCTGCCAGTAGGTATCTTTTTTCATCTATCCACTAACTAGTAATCAGTAGAGGGAATGAAATTGGTTAGTCTTACCCTTCTTTTTAAATAATGTTTGTGCCTAATGTAACTTGTTAAACTGTTTTTTCATATTCTGTCAATGAACTCGGGTAAAAAACATTTTAATACAGACATCATGACAGGTTATTGCACATTCTAATTGCACTATATTTATTTAGGCTGCCCAAACATCCATTGTTTTGTATGTTATGAAATATGCAGTGTGGTATCAGGTTTGATTAGGGCAGTGTATAGTAGGTGATGACCTGCCCACCCCCGTCCCCAGAGTCAGGACTGGAGTAAGAGTGACGAGAGGCTCCTGCAGGCTGTGGAACAGAATGAACCTGACAAAGTCTCTGCTTTCATCATCAAGAAAGGCCTTTGTCCCACTAAGCTGGATGCTGAGGGCAAGTCAGCGTAAGTTGATTTTCACCCTTTGTAGTTAACTTAAAAAAAATTTAAATATCAGAAGTAATTATTTTCATTTCCAAAGTTGTATTAGATTAATGTTAGTGTAAAGTACATTGTTTATGTGCAGTGGGAAGGACCTACCCAATACTAAGTATTTATTGTGGGTAACAAAAAAATTATATTGATGCCAATACTGTTGCAAATTCTGTTTATTAATCAATTATTTCATGATGCTTTTAGATAAACAATAGCTTATATTTTCCTATTTCGTCTTTAACTAATCTAAACCAGTAGCATAGCCAGAAATTATAGTGTAGGTGGGCCTATTCTGTTGGTCACCCGTTGATTATTGACTGTATTTCACTGGATCAGCAGCTTTTTTCTCCCCTGACTCTTGTGAGTGGGTGGGCCTGGGTTCCACCCACAGCACTGCCTCTGATATAAACTGGTGAAACAAAGGAATGACCAGTGTTGAAGTGGAACAATTAAAAAAAAAATCAGTGGAAACTGATTGTCATTCCTCTTCTCTAATCACCTGCAACATGTACTGCCATTTCTTCTTTTGCCAGGTTCCACCTCTGTGCATCCCGAGGACGGCTAGACTGTCTGGAGGTCATCATCTCTCATGGAGCAGATCTCAGTGTCCCTGATGGCGCCGGTATGGTATTTTATTATCTGGAAGTTTTATCTTCTAACCCAAGGCTGTTGAGTCACGTGTCATGGATTGTTTATCAATGACTCCAGGCTTCAGCGCCCTTCACCTTGCAGCCAAAAATGGCCAGTCAGAGTGTTTGAAGAGACTCTTACAGGTAAAACCTAGTGATGGTGTGATTAACCACCTAATGCTGTAAAATGTAAATGGAACAGCACAGACATACATTTTAAGACTCCATCCATCCATCCATTATCTATACCGCCTATCCTGACGAGGATCACCGCGGGCTGGAGCCCATTTTAAGACTACTACAGGAAATAAAAAAATGGTTCATCTTTTGGTGATATTTGCTGTTGTTTTTATATCCCCACGGAGGAGAGACTGCCAGTAGATTGCACCGACAGCATTGGTAGGACACCGCTCCATCATGCAGGTATCAGACCTACGGTGCAATTATACAACACTGTGCATACAACAAATTCTTTACATAAATCCTGTTCAATGTAATTCATGCATTAAAGGTAAGCTCTTAGGAGTACTGTAGATATGTAAACCTTCGATAACCCACATGATGATTCTGATTATTTCCTGCAGCGGTCAGTGGGTGTTTGTCCTGCACTGAAACCCTGTGGGACTTTAAAGCCAATCTAGATGTCCAGGATGATGTGAGCTGATGATTGTTGTTACAGTAAATGAACTTTGGTTCGCTGGTTTTGTTTGACATATGTGAAGTGTATGAATTAATATCGACTCATTTTTGTGAAGGGTGTTAGACAACATTATTAAGTAAAGCTGTAATATTGCAGCAATATTATTATATGATGTTTGGATGATCACATATATGTCTCTTTCAGGATGGCGCCACCCCACTGATATTAGCAGCCCAGATGAGCAGAGTGGGGCTTTGTGTGTTCCTGCTGGGACGAGGTGCCAATGCAAACATACAGGACAAACAGGGAAGGTACTTGAATGTCCACTTCTTCCTCTGAGTAGCAGGCGGGGTTAGTTAGAACCGCTGGACTCACCTCTGTCCATCTCAGCGTTGTTGTAGCCTTGACAGATGGAATGAATGAGAGTGTCAGACGATACGAGTCCTACTGAGGCAGACTGGGACATGAAGCAGCTTCATCAGCTAAACTAGAACCTAAAACCATTTTCAGGATTATTCTCACAGCAGTGGGCAGTGGTGGAAGAAGTGCTCATATTCTTTACATGAGTAAAAGTAACAACAGCACAGTGTAAAAATACTTTGTTACAAGTAAAAGTCTTTCATACAAATGTTACTTAAGTGAAAGCACAAAACTATTAGCATCAAAATATACTCAAAGTACCAAAAGTAAAAGTGATCTGTCAGTTTGAACTGGCCAAATGAGTACCTCAGTACCTAGGAGGAGGTCTGAAGCTGATTTACTGTGTGATTACACAGTACTTTGATGATTTTTGATGGAGTTATTATTTTGCTTACTGTGACTGGTTTAATACTTTCCTGCTATAGTGCGACATTATTTGGTAATTGTAGATCTGCACTGATGCTGGCCTGTGAGAGTGACAGTGTTGAAACAGTGGAGGCTCTGCTGAGAGGCGGGGCCAATTCCCAGCTGGTTGATGCACCTGGACACAAAGCCAGCGACTACAGCATAACCACAGACAACCAGTGCATCATACAGATGCTGAAGGATGGAGTATTTCCAGGTACAGCATGAGGCCAGGAGAGACATATTGAATTATTATAAATCAAACGTAGGTAGCTCTTGTGAAAGTGGACTAAATAAAGCAACACATGGTAGGAGCATGCCATCAGACCCTTTTAGATGGCTTGTGCCTGTGCTCCCCAGGGAGATGACTGTAATAAGAGGAAATGGATCCAGAGGATAGCTGGGTGATTGGAAAATGGTGTATAAAAATACAAAATGCTCATTCCTTTTTTATCTCCCAAGAAATTGCTTATATGGAAAACAGATGTTTGGCTTGTATGAAAAGGAGATGGAGAAAATTTAGTGTGCATATGATGTCTGAGCACATTAGTTTTATTCTGTAGTCAGAGATTTTGGAGGATTCACTATGAGATACATGTATGGCATTACTGTAAAGTACATATCAGAAAAGACAAGGGTGTGTATACTTGTACACATATTAACATGAGGAAACTTGTTGTTGTAGAGGTTAAAGTGATTTGTGTTTGTTGTTGTTTTTTTCCTTCTGCATACGTACTGCAGCTTCTGAAGGCACAGGCGAGGAGGTAAAGTTGCATAGCTACATGCTGCATCTCTCCTTCCATCAATGAGGTCATGGCCTATATTCCGCATGCTTTCCAGTATGAGGTCATTGTTTATGTGTGCTGCTTTCTTTTTATTAGCTTCCATTCCCCTTTGTTGCTGACCCTTTGTCTTATCATAGTTTCCTGCATTTTAAGTTGTCTGTGGTCCCCTCCCACCCTCACACAGCCCTCACAAGTCCCCTCGGGTGCCTCCTCAATGCATGGGGGGACTACCCCCCGCAAACGGAAAGCTCCTCCACCACCCCGCCCTCCTCTGCAGGTATTGTAAGGAACATTTCACTGGATGGAAAACATTTTTTAAACCACATTCAAAGGCAAGCTTTACATTGTTGTCAGTAAACTGTAAGCAATGTCTGCCCCCATCTCATGGTACACATATGAAATTTGAATATGATTTCTCTTCACCAGATTGTGTCATTTTAGATGAGATAACCCACGAAAAGCAAGAACAAAAGATTTATCATATAAGGTTTTGAAAAAATCTGAGACTTTCAAAAACATTTTTGACTAGATGAATTCTCAAAATGAAGAGCATCAGAAGTATATTTTTAGATTTTTTTTTACACCCAAGCCACACTCTATGCAATCTTTTTTTGATTAAAAATTTATTATAGCTTTATCTTATCACAATCTTGCAATAATATAGCAGAGTTTCTTAAGAGATTAACTAAACAGTATAGCCTCTGTAATGGCTAATCAGGATTCATTTTATTCTGCTTTCCTACAACAAAGATCCAGAGTTTGGCACCAGCTCCACAGCCCCGGAGTCGTGCTCCCACCCAATCCCCTGAGTCCCCATCTCAGTCGCCTTCTCCCTCTCCTCATCCTCCAGAAACACAGCAATCAGCCCAGGTAAGCCCTGTAAATATAAATTTTTGTTTTATCATAGCTGCTGTTCATCCTTCATACTATGCAGATTGCAGACTTTATTAGACGGTTATATGTCTGTGGTTGTATGCGTAAGACAGAGGATGAGGAGGTGTTTGAGGAGATTCGACGGCTGCGTCTGGAGAGAGGTCGTCTGCTCCAGAAGATCAAAACTTTGGAGCAGCAACAACAGAATGCCCTCTCTGCCTTGGAGGAGGTACTCCACTATATGTCTTGCAAATTATTTCATGATTTTATATAAACCTATAGCTATACATTAGAGCTTTGTGTATATGTATCTGTAAAAATGGAGGGATGCTGGTTATATTCACCAAACACATACAGATACCTGATGTCCCTGTGTGTGTCTGTGTGTGCCTTGTAGTTGTCTCAGTTAAAGCAGCGTCTAGAGGAGGCAGAGGCAGAGAGGGACAAGCTGCTTGAGGAGCTGAAGGGAGGCCATGTTATTGGGGCTAGCGACTCTGAAGACATGGATGAAATGTTAGACTTCCCAGGTATGTGATCTGTGTGTACATGCACTTTCCTAGCAGTGGCAGAGAATGTATATCATGTACTGATTGATTCTCCCCCAAATCCAGAAAAGCTGCTTTCTAAGCGCTCCAGAGCCTCTCCTGCTCAGGATGAGGTTACTCATGCAGACACAAAGGAGGCTAGCCCCTCTCCTGCCCCTGCAGACCCAGGAGCTGTTGCTGAGCTGTGCAAACAAATAGAGGAACTTACCTCACAAAACTCTGAACTTGTTCTCAAAGTGCAGGTAAGGTCAAGGTGAGAGGAAATGCACAAGTACGCCCAAATATGCATTAGATGTATCCCTCTCTCTCTCTCTTTTATACACACACACACACACACACACACACACACACACACACACACACACACACAATCCCAAAACAATTTAAAGAGTGTAAATTTATAGTGATTATTACATGGCTCCCCAGCAGAAGATGAAGATGCTAGCTCAAGGGTAGCTGAGTGTACCTGACTGGAACATTAGTCATGACTGCGTAAACCTTATGATGCTACACTAATGCACCAAGACAGTTGTGTTCATACAGGTATAAATAGAACAGAGCAACATCAGATGTAGGCACTGGGGCATTTTGTAGACATTTTTCACTAACTGGGTCATGCTAGCTGAACACTGAAGTTTGTTTTTCTGGCGCGGCTCATTCACCACTGTGTCACAGTTATTAGGTCAAGAACTTCTCCTGCATGAAAAAGAACCAGTCAGGAAATAAAATCTAAGGTCCCATAGAGAGCTGGGATATGTGAAAGAATGAAACTAATAATACAAATTTCTGCTGTGAGTTTCATGGTAGAGGGCAGATTCCATAAGTCACAGCGAAGTAAGTTAATTAAATTGGAGCTCTACCAATACATATACAGTATACAGCAGTGGGAGTACCACTATGGTTCTGGATGTCAGCTTGGCTTGGATATAATTTTGTGTGAAGGTTTACTAGGGAATCTCTTGTGGGTCTAATATGCAGATCCCATTAAGTTGTATCATGGGAATCAAATGTTTTTTGGAGCTTGAGCCAATTAGAAATATCTCACTCTTTTTGTTTCTTGCAAGTCCTCCATCCCAGCAATGAGGAATTGTGATCCATGTTACTCACCTAGTTATATAAGCTTAGCAGTACCCATTCTCTTACCAAAAATATGTACAGTAACGTACTCTTGCTAAGGGCCGTCCGGTCCCTGTACGACCGGAGCAGGAGCTTGGTTTGCATCGCCGGCAGTAAGTCAGACTTGTTTCCAGTGCATGTTGGACTCCGGCAGGGCTGCCCTTTGTCACCGGTTCTGTTCATTATTTTTATGGACAGAATTTCTAGG